ATATTTATACACTTAATCTCGTATTATTATTTTTCAAGCTCAGATACGCCATATATAGCTTTAATAAATAATATAAAACATTAAAAAAAATAGTGCACAAATTAAAAAAAATGGAGCAAACCCAAATAAAATTACAATAATAACTCAAATTGAGATAAAATTGTCAGTCTGTATTACATAATGAAGTAATAATGTAGTATAGCTGAATTTACGAAACTGCGTTTGAAAATCAACCAAACTACCACTTTACAGGTGAATTAAAATGCTCTATGCAAGCACCTAAAATTATTACTCTTGATTTGTATAATGTCTCAACCTATGACACCGAAGAAAATATAATAAAAAAGAATATTCAATATTTTTGTGGTTGAATATGGAATTTATTTTACTCTAAGACAGAATTTGGTGATATTTTCACTCGTGCTTTGCACTCGTGAAAATCACTCTCTATCATCGGCTCCGAGAGAGGAACGAAAAACAACTCTGCATGAGAGATTTGTGAAAATATCAAAAAATCCTGTCCCACCCGTGAATTAAATTCCATATCCAACTACGAAACAAACTGAATATCCTCTGAGTATTTACGATGATCTGATATTATACGTTAACGACACTTGTTCAAACTACATGTACTTAGAAAGCATTCCAGAATCATTGTCAAGAAATAAATCATATCAGAATAATATGACCTTATTTGTAAAGTTGTGTATGACCTTAATGAGCACACAAGACAAAATTGCTAACGCACCACCAAAGAAAATCAATATTTTACTTTTCAAAACTTGTTCATGATATATTTGATAATAATTAAGTCACTTAAGTAAAAAAATAAAATAAAAAAAATCAGGCATTCAAAAGTCTTAACTGATAAATAACTACAATATTAACTGAAGCGTAACCATTTCATAGAAATAATCAAAATCGTACCCTTGCTTTTTTGGAGGAATAAATTTCTATTTTTTTCTTTGTGTTCACGTTTTTTATGTTTGTACTTATAAAAACTCAATGATCATAAAGAAAATTAAACCTTATGCGGTGTTTGACCCTAGAAGAAAGTGCTAAAGCAGTCAGTATGGTGTCGGCAGGGGGGGGGGGGGGTTGGAGATATTTGTAAAAAAAAAAAAATTAAAACAATTAATGATTATTCATTTCTCTAGTGCAAAATTGTTGCAAATAGATTAACAAACATAAAAATGTTAACTATAGATAACCACGGCATTAAATAAGCATCACACGACAATTTCAAGATTGTTCCACAAAATTAGGATGACTACTAGGCGATATGATAGTCAATCGCTGTTTATTGTTTGACTTTTAACTGAGAGACTACATGTACTTCTGGTGCAACCTCATGGACCACCATCTGTAATCATCGACTACATATCTGGGCAAAAACGGTGCGTAGTGCACGTTGGAAATTGGTTTTCGGAGAAGAAGGCTATTTAAGGGTCTTGTCAAGTCACCAAGACATTGTCAATCCAACTGTATTGGAAAAGATGGCATATTAGATATAATAGTACCGATGAGGTAAATTCTCAATTCACAAATAAGAATAACAAGTGGTGCGTTAGCTACTGATCAAATTTGAATTTTTAAGTTTGATGTACTTTAATATGATTTCAGAGTAATTTGTTTTCGAAAATTTTTGTTTTGGAAATCATCAGTGAAAATAATTCTAGTATTTCACCTTTCTGCAATGAAAGATGGGAAATGTGTATGATTATAATCATTTTGTTTATTTGTTAGGACCAAACTAGTCCTTCAGAAATACACTGATTAAAATCAGTGTAATTACAAGTTAAATACAGAATACTTTCTCTTTATTCATTAACCATTTTCTGGACGTCTATTTCCCAATTACAATATTTACTGGCATTCTATCTTTGACATGATGCCTTCTAAATAGAGGGCATCATGTCAAAGATAGAATGCCAGTAACACTTAATTCCCGAGGAGAAACGTGTACACACCATTTCAACACCTTAGATATAACAAGTTTGATACATGCAACACACAATAAATATTATCCTATAATGTGTTTCTTGTCTACTCGTACTATACAGTCCCTGATGATTGTTTTCGATTTCATAAACATTAGATACATAAAAAAAGAAAACCTAACGTTATGGTGCAACTTAATCTTCAAAACAACCTTGCTTTCTTCTTCGTCCTTACCAACTTTTAAAGAAATATAAGTGGTTTTCAAAACAGACGCCCGAAAGTAAGTGTTTCTTTAAAAAAAAAAACTTTAATAAATACCTTTTTGCATTTTTTTTTAATTTGAAGTTTTTAGAATTATAATTATAAAATTATGGGGAGTTTTCGAAATAAGGTCTTCTCACTTATTATTATGGTGTAAAAAAGTATTAGATGTAAAGAAATATACAAATCTAGAAATAGTTGACAAAATAATTATAATCGGATCCCATGAATATATATATAAAGGATTCTGTCAAAGTTTGCCTTGGTTTTCACCATCTTCCAAAACTTACTTCAATATAAAAACAAAGCTGTATATTTTTTAAAGGTAGCAAAAATTAAGACATGTATTTCTATTTCTAAATGAAATTTCAATGCCTTATGCCAGAGGAATAAGAAATCTAGCCAGAAAAAAAAATCTGAAAAAAATAGTAATGCAAATAAGTCTCAGTAATTCTTGTGATGGAAATGTACATGTACAAAATGTAATTTGGAAGCTTCTGTCAAGAATAAAGTGCAGTGCTTCACATTAGCAAATTTTCTGCATGACGTTGTACGAAACGACAACGTTTAAAGTTTTTTGAGCTCTTTAGAAACGTTCTGAAGAAACGAATATCCGACTCTGACATTAATACAGGTGGACAAAAATATCTACTGTAAATGTTTTTGGGTGTATAGTCAATAAAAAACCTCCATCCATCTTCGTATTCAAAGGTAAAAAACATTTCGTTGAGATGGCATACTAGTAACTTACACGACATCAGTTCATCATTGTGTAAGAATCCTGCACACCCACGTTCATGATTCACACATTCCATTACATACTTTTTAAGAACATTTCTCTCCAAAGACGTTATAGGGAAACATGGATGTTTTGAAAGCAAGTTATCAAACTCAGCCTCCCATGTGAAAAAGCTTCCTTTTTGACTTAGTAAGTAAAGATACCATTCATATCAAATACAGAGCTGCAAGAAAATTAAGTCTAACAAAATTTTTATACATTATTTTGAGAGTTTCCGTCAACTTCAGATGGAAATGTTAAACGCTGTGAACTTTTTCACAAATGCTACAGTAACTGCTCGAACAGATAAAGGTTGTGTATAAAGCCCATGTAGGGACTAGAGACTTTATTTAGAATGAAAAAATATGTTCATGTAAGATGTTGATTGATTTCAAGTCCTAACTTTATGTTAACACCCACAAAATGTGCTTGCATCGAGATGAATGTCATTATTCTTGTCAATCAAGCGAGAAACAATAGGTGTTATTTGATTGACATGCCAGACACCCCTTAGTACACTGTACATGAAAATCTAGGACTGGTTTTTATAATTATGTTCACCGATGCAAAAATCAAGCTCGTTAATATACACAAAAATTGCTTGCCCAGAATTGATAGATACATGTATATCCATACTAAAGTAAAACGACGTATGTTTAACAAAATTTTCATTGCAAACGACCTGCATGTTAAGTTGATAATTTTAAAACTGGGATACCTAATATCTCAAGATATTGCTTATCAAAAATATTTCTCTCAGAATAACACTTCCATATTATAGATTCATGCTCATCTTCCATGTACATAACACGAAACCAGATACTTGCAGTGACAACTCAATAGCATTTTTACTACGAGTAGGATCAAATATGTAATAAAGTAAATAAGCAGACTACTTTTGACAAAACTTGGATGATCTAAATATTTTCAATCAATTGTATTTCAAACTATTTTTTGTATTCACCCTGTTGCAAGATTTTCTTGGCATATTGATAAAGAAAAGATTCATTTTTTTATATTTAATGTAAGTCCGTAGGAACTGGGGCATGGGGACAGGGGGTGTGCCCCTAATACATTTTTCAGTATATACAACAGGAAACGAAGCAGCTAACCCACGGTTGTGACCTCTCACTAATAACCCTGACAAACTTTTTTTCTGTCAAGGCATTTTAGTTAGATTGTGCCTCCCCAAACTGAACTGTTGGGACGTGCCCCCGAACTGAAATTGCTTCATACGAGACTATTATTATTAAGAACTCAAAGAGTAACTCGGCGTAGTTTTATAGTTTTTAAGGAATAATTTCCTCGCGTAATACAATTATGAAGTTTTTTTTTTAGTTTGTACTCAGAGCAATGTATAATGCATGGGTTTTTATTTTTGAATGATACTTTTATTGTCTACACCCATATTTGTACATAAACAATGCAACGATAACATTAAAGAGTGTTTGGCAAGTTATACAATATAATTTTCTGTTTTATTTTGGTGTTTTGTACGTTTATGTTTCTGTTATTGTCTAATAAACAACATACAGAAAATAGGGTGGTGCAGAAAAACACAGATATGTTAAAATGAATTAAAACTGACGTCTTATTAATATCAACGCCACTTTTTTTGTTCGGAAATGTTTTAACTCTAAATATTTGTTAAAATCAGTAATGCATAGAAAAATAAGCTTTGACATTTGAAAAATTTTGAACTTTAGTATACTTGAGTATATCATTCAAGCATTATTAAAAGTAGCAAAACATTTGCTTTCGACTAAAAAGTACATTTTGCACTGTTTGTGTATCAAATTTCTATGACATAAGTAAGTTTTATCTTGTTCTAATGTCCAGTCATGATTTATATTTAAAGTTTCTTAAACCTGCTCTATACATCCCACTTTTCCCATGGATATTATATATTTCATTTGAAATAAACAGAAGTGACAACTCAGTTAAAATTCAAAGTTGGATTAATAATACTTTATTCATGTTTTTCTATATATACCTGCATTTTGAGTATAAAATTCAAATATCATATTTGAGAGTTTGAATCTTTTTCACAAACATAGTTCATATGATTGAAATCTTTACAAGCAGCATCCTTCCATTTTCCAGAAGAATTAATTCGGACACAGTCCTGTCCGTTTTTATCATCAGGTTGTCCGTCATCCCAAGGCAGGTATGTCAGTTCCTCATTGTTTCTGACCCAGGTAAATGTACCCTCTGTATCACGATCTGTTGCACCGACCCATACATTGCAAAATTGCCATTCCAAGCATTCACCTACAAATGCAAGGCATTGTTTCAGCCTACAAGGACTAAAAACTACGGTATGCAGAGGTGATACTAACATTTATCGTTTGGCTGATCGCTGTGGATCACTAACATTTATAGAGTAAAATGAAAGAATATTTTAGCATAATATATCTTGATTCAATGAAACAAAATTTTCTAGAATGCCAAACTCAAAATGGATTAACCAAGACTGTATTTATTGCATGGTGTACTCACTTGCAGGTAGAGATAGGAAGGTTTCAGTGATCCACATATTTTCCTCAACTGATTCTATTTCCAGAACATATGCTCCATGAGCCTTGCATTGTACCTAAAACATAGGGAAAAAATCGGATAGCCTTTATGTTTTTGCGAAGTTCAAGAAGATCCTTTTAATTATTACTGCAGTATTTACCTGAGAGTTCGACCATGATATCAATGTATTTCCTATGAGATAACAATGGCCGTTATATGGAGTCCACCCAAGATCGCAAGCTTTTAAACAGAAATACAGATAATGAAGAACATACATGAACATGTACGTACATTCTTGCAGTCATTTTTATTAAAAGGGAATGAAGAGTAGCTCTAAAATTTTAAGCAGAATTTTTGGTTTGTAAATCAGATCTCGAATACAATAATCATCGTTTGATTTTGTCATTTATTTTTAAATTTACCTTTAGTATCATAGTAGAATTTCCAGCCATTATACAGCTCAGTCGAAAACTGTTTATTCAAGTGTAATTTCAGTAATTTACATAACATGGATCTTCTTTTGTATAGGAAACCTGCACACACAGGCAGATTCTTTAAACACTCAATACCACAGAGCTTGAGACTTATATCCTCAAAAGACTCCAAGGAGTAATTTGAATTTGTCGGTAAAAGGTTATCAAAATAGGCTTCTTTTCTGAAATTTGCTTGTCGTTTGTGTTGTAATAAAGAATTTCCAATTTTAACATCAAAGACGTTAAAAAGGATAAGTCCAAAAAGAGATATTAACATTCTTCGTGTGCCCATGATATCGAACAATGTTATGCAGACAAAAATATGAACTAATTTTATTTCTAGTTGAGAGAAGGTTATTAAAATTGACCACTATGAATCTGGTCGCTATTCTGCAGGTTTCCTTAACAGTAGTGCTATTGATCATTCATTCTTCGAAAGAGAAGTAGACAATTCTGACTTTTTAATTGAAATTCCTTAATCTTTTCTATGTTCTTTAAATTGATTTAAGGCATACCGAAATAACAAGCAATATAAATCCCTTGTTTATCAATCGCATGACAGGTCTTCTTGTTTGAAAATGAAAAATAATCTATAAAAAGCTAAGATGACAATTAAGTAAAAAGAATTCCAATAATTTTTTTTAACTAAGTCTTAAAAACCATAATCTGCATATGCGAGAGGCTTAATTTCATAAGTCTGTTTTATTACACCTGCTTTCGTAGACTTTCTTGCAAATTGTTAGTTAAAAATACTGATGTTATATAATTGTAGTTTTTGCTTCAAACATATATGAAAAATAATATATTAGAGATGTAAGAAAAATAGCAGGGTTCTCCGTCATTTAAAATTTAACTGTGGCACAGGCTTTAGCGAGTTTTCTCTCTGTGGTATTTTCGCGTCCAAATTCGCGATGAAACCACTTAATACAATGAAATACACACAACTCTCTGAATCACTAGGTTTGTTTCACAAATGGAATTACATGTATTTATTTCGCAATTTGGAAAAAAAATGATACAAAAATAAATAAATAAATAAATAAATAATCGATATCGTGTAAACATGATCAATCCCCCCCCCCCTTTTTTTTTCTAAACACAACACACATACGCAAATAAAAATAGTTATATTTATAGAATCTGAAAATAATACTACAAATAAAAACAAGTTTAAAGTGTTCAATGCTAATTTTCTGGAAATAATTTTGTTTACAAAAGGTACTAATAAAACAGAGTACATTAAAGGGCAGAGGAAATTCTGGTAGGCTACGCAATCAATCAATACATTTGCAGGACTGAAGTATCAGAAAATGTGAATTTAAATAACTTTGGCAATTTTGAGTTATAAAATTGATTATTATTTTGTTGGATCTGACGTTATTTTTTCAATATTTCATTAACCACGATAACAATACGATGACTCACATAGAGAAAACTGGGAAGTGTGAAAACCAATGGGTTGTCTCTTTTCATTCATGCGTAAAGTCCAGTGAGGGTCTAGAAGATAATTAATTATGAAGCCAAACAATGGGTCCGAATGAGGGAAAATTAACGGTTAAACATTAGAAACTGAAAACGGTACACATATTTAGTTTCATTTTTATTATAAATTTATGCTCCTAATCACCAATTATCTTACTGTGGAGAAAATATTTTACTACTGTGGCGCTAAGCAATGTAACTGTGACGAGACTGCCACGTTAAATGGCCAATGGAGAATCCTGAATAGGCTAGATTTTCTCCAGATATTTATCCTGATTTCACTACGCTCAATCTCCTGGAGTAAATCTCTTTCTGACAATTATATTTTTTTTGATAAAGAAGAAATGTTTGGTGATTTTTTTCCTGAAATGGTATCATTATTTCAATATCAAACTTCCAATGCTATAAGCATACTAGCAATGGCATATACTGTCCTTCTCCATGTAATACACCACTAAATTTTGAAATATAATTTAGTAATTGTGCGGAATATTAATAATATTTTATATACCGGTAATATTTAATGGAGTTAGCATTTTGCACTCTGAGAATTCCTTGATTGATTTTGAATTCTTTTAATTTTGAGTTCAAGTTCCATGGAGTACATGGAATTCAGTTCCATATAACAGTTTTCTAAAGTTAAATTACAATAAAATAGGAAAAGATAAATAGTGATCGATCTAAAAAAAAAAAAAAAAAAACAACCCTACGAACAATACAAATCTGTAAAGAGGGCATAAAACAGGGACTCCTGAAAATTCCAGAGGTGGAATCAAGTGCTTAGGATGAATATTAAGCACCCCCTGTCGACTGGTCATACTCGCCATAAGCCCTATGTATTGATCAGCTAGTAGGAGTAATCCATAGTCAAAATTAGTATAAAACAAAGGTCTAACAACTGGTATGAAATATTTCAGTCAAAACAAGACCAAAAGATAGGTTGTATTTATATTATTATCATTATATTATACCACTGTTGTCATTATAACGGCCATAGAATTTACGAAATGCTGACTTTAAACGAAGTTGTTGAAATTCCAAAAATGCCGTAAATGCAAATTGAAATGCCATAGAAGACTTTATACACATGTACTATGTTTCTTAAACGAATATAAGGAATCTCAATTATAAGGAAGCGAAATTCTTGTGACGTCCTTATAACCAAGAGTCTACTGTTTTTTGTGTTCACTTGGATATATCAAGTTAACATGAATTGAAGTAACTATTAACTATTTAATAACTAAAGATATATCTGAATGTCAAGTATTTTCTTCTCCTGTAGAAGTTTCTGAATAAATTCTGCTTCAAAATATAATATATAAACAGATCGGCTCATTAAGGAGCACAATTGATGCCCATCGAAATTCCAACAGGTTATTTGAAGACTTGATCTCCAAAGACTACATAGATGTTGTCAATGAGAAACTCCAGCATAATCTTGCACATCTTCGGCACTATCACAGTTGACAGCTAGCAGTTGTTAACAGTCTCTAAACTTTTATGTTTACAGATAAAAACAGATCATGGAGTTGGAATCTCTCAAGATGAAACTAATTTAAGTGCCTAAATAACGTGACAGGAATAAAATAACAAAATTATAAAATGATATTTAAAAAGCAAATTATATTTAATGAGCATTTGAATTTTTGAATATAAAAATTTCAGTCAAACATATATCATTGAAAATAAATTCAAAATCAAGATAGTGTAATTATCAGCATAAGATTGAGCTTGGGGCTTTGTCAAATTCATGAAAAATTTGGAAGGCAATCTACCTTTTTTCTACCTTCTTTCATTTACCTTTCTTACCAATTTGCAACAAAAACTACAAAATACTCGTTATATACATGATGGATTTTAATGCAAAATTGAATAATAAATTCCAATCCAAAATTCGCAAGAATGTCGGTGAAAGCAAGAACATACCATCAGATATTTAAAATAAATCTTTTTTAATCTGCAAATTCAGAAATTATTTAAGATCTAAATTAAGTAACATTTGAATTCTTTTAAAATAGCTTTCATCTGAAGTTTGCATTGATTACTTTTCTTATCTGAAATCAGGAAACGCTGTCATGCAAGTAATATACAAGGTACTTATAGGGCTTTTTATTTCCAGTAAATAAATTCGATTCAAAGAACAATAGAAAATGTTTAAGAGATATGAAAGTAATCTCTTAAGAAAGAGAAAAATCCAAGTTCTGAAATATTCATTCCTTATTCTAAAACTCGATGATTAAACACTACTCTTCAAAGTCAAATTAATAACTATAAATTTACGAATCGGTTCGTTAAACTTCTGTTAACAATATTAAGTAGACGATGCTTTAAAACAGTTCAAAGCACTCTTAGTATTAAGACGTGTATCTGGAAACCTTAAGCAGAAGAAGAATGTTGATATCTGTTTTGGGACTTTTCCTGCTTTGCGCATTTCATATAAAAATAGGAATATCTTTATTACCATGCGAAAGAGAAAGAACATTCAGAACTGAAGGTCATTTTGATAATCTGTTACCGACGAATTCAAATTATTCCTTGCAATCCTTTGAGGACATAAATCTTATATTCTGTGGCATTGCGTGTTCGAAGCGTCTGCCTGTTTGTGTAGGCTTTCTGTTCAATAGAGGAATGATGCTTTGTAAGTTACTGAAAATACACTTGAATAAAAACGTTGTGACTGAGCTGTATGATGGTTGGAAGTTCTTCTATGATACTAAAGGTAAATAAATAAATCGAAAAATCAAAAGATGATAATTGTTTTGTTTTTTTTAAATCTATCTAAAAGAAATGTATTTTTAAAAAAAACGTTCCCCAGTGGTTTGAAACTTTTTATTATAAGAAATATTTATCAAACTGAAAAGCATATTAAATCTGTTAATGTTCGACCCCACCCCCATGATGAGATCTATGATTTCGGAAGCCTTCTTTAAGCTTGACTCTAAAGGCTGCACTTCTCTTTTATACGATGTATATTATATAGCCCATAAATCAGAACCTTTAGAAATAACGTATATATGTAACCTGATCCAAACCCCTATTTTTCAAAAGCGTGACAAGTCATCAAATGTAAAATATAATGTGTGTGTGTCTTCATTATCTGTATTTCTGTTTTTAAAAAAGCTTGCGATTCTGGATGGACTCCATTCAACGGTCATTGTTATTACATAGGGAATACATTGATATCATGGTCGAACTCTCAGGTAAATATTGTGGCAATGATGAGTAAGAATCTACATAGACTTCGTTGAAACTACGTCAATTTATCGTATTTTTTCGTTTGTTCTAGATACAATGCCAGAATTATGGAGCGTATGTTCTGGAAATAGAATCAGTTGAGGAAAATATGTGGATCATTGAAACTTTCTTACCTAGAAATGAAAGTGTGTATATGGTGCAATGAATATAATCTGAGTTAATCATTCAATTTGATTATGATATTATAGAAAACTATGTTGTGCTGAAACGTTCTTTAATTCTACCCACAGCAATATGTCACTTTGATGAAAGAGTGTCGTGCATTTGTAGGTGATTGTTCAGAATGGCGATATTGCACTGTATGGGTCGGCGCAACAGATCGCGATATAGAGGGCACATTTACCTGGATCAGAAATAAGAAGGAACTGACATACCTGCCCTGGGGTAACGGACAACCTGATGATAAAAAAGGACAGGATTGTATCCGTCTTAGTCCTTCTGGAAAATGGATTGATGCTAATTGTGGCGATAACAATCAGATAAACTATGTTTGTGAAAGAAATTAAAAGTAATTCTCAATTATGTAAAACTACAAAGTATGCATATGGTTTGTGACATTATATTCCTAAAATGTAGCAAAAAGTTAATAAAGTAACTTTTCCATTACTTTGAAAACAACTCCAAAGTGTCATTTGTTTTGTTTTTTGTGTCAATTGCATAGAAGGCTTTCTGCACGACTGTCTTTTCTAGAGAAAATATGTTGGCACCTATGCTAGGGATCGAACTCACGCCAACGCGCCACCGATTACGCCAGAACACCGTTAATTTAAGGAATATAGTTTCAAGTATATTAAATAGTTTTCATACATTTGACACAAAACAATAAGTAAATGAATATCATTTCCAATAGACTGATATCATTGACAACGAAAACAAAAACTTTAACAAATAATCAAATTGATCAATAACCAAAATTGCAACGTTACAAAAACTGGTAAACAGTCAATTTATTCTGCTTTATATTTAACTCATGCAAGACCTGTTGAAACAAACCTGCCTGGCATTGAATTGAATCTTGATCTTACTGAATTTCCATAGGTGCCCCTACAAAATATAAAAAAATAAGATGATTTACTATGATCTTTACCTAAATATTCATAAGAGAAATCAATTTAAAATTTATTTGCATTATCATGAAAATACAAAATGGTTTAAACTTTATTTCTTATTTACCAAAATAATATTTTCTCTTCATCTTTTCATTAGAATGTAAGAAATAAATGGACACATAAGGGAAAAATACATTCTTCTATTAATAAATGATGAATATTCTGAAATTTTATTTTGAAAACTCTCCATTTGAAATGAAAAAATAGATAAAATAGATGATACTGGTGAAATATTTTTAAACATTTTCATAATGATTATTTGGCATCTTATGACGTATTACTATATTAATGTTCGTGTTACTCATTCCAAGATTTTGAAACAAAATATTATGCTGATGCAGAGCACATGATTGAAATTCCAAAGCTTTCTTATCAAGAACTCATTTTCCCTCAAAAGAATGACCGACACTTAATTTTCATTCCTTCCTTTTTTCAAGAGCTAACTCCATATTGCTGGTGAAACTCACTTGTATATGGTATTTATGGCTCCTAATTGATTGGATAAGCAATAGCATGCTCTGTTTTGTCTACCTGATCAATACATAGAGCTCACGGTGGGCATGACCGGTCAAGAGGGGATGTAATCTCCTCCTCGCCACCTGATCCCATTTATGCTGTTTCCATGGGCAGTATTTTTCCACCGTTCACAATTCGTTTTGTCTACGAGATTGATCACTCTTTTCACCTTTTATATTCGTGCTTGAATAGGCATTTGAAATTATTTTGATATAAAATTTGCATCACATTTTTGTCTCTACCTCAACAAAATCAGCTCTGTTTGATGCCGTAAACGGTGTACTATTCGTAATCACAAAAGGGTCCAGTTTTGTATTCCACCATATTTCAAGTTGAAATCCACAGCTTGTATTTCGTACAAATATTCGTCGACTTTTCTTTCCAGTGTTTTGAATTAAATAAATAATTAAAAAAAACCCAAACCTTTCTATTGCCTAGGTGTCAAACATCTGAAATAACACCCTCCTATTCGTGTTCATGTTCTTGTTCTCCCAACAAGTATAGTCCTTCAAGAAGCATCATTACTGGTGACATGAATAAAGTTAACAATGAGGACCTTAAACCAATTATTACAATGGACCCAAAATACATGTATTTAAGGAACCCTGATCTTTCAACTGATGACAATATTTCTTAAATATTATGAAGGGCCAAAAACGAAGGAGAAGACCTTGACACTTTGTTAAAATCGATTAAAAGTATCAGATGAATGTTTAAATCCCTTGTTGAACGGTTAAGGGGCAATGTGGAAACCATCTTTCCTTCTGTCTTCAATAATTCCGAAGTGAAAAAAGACTACGATTACACGATCAATATGGACTGATCAAAGCTGACGAAGAAGGTAGCAACATAGTTTTTGTTTTCAGGCTCATTATTACAATTGAATTTTATAGGAACTTCGATTGAATTCTACAAGTGGTAGATATTTTTCTTTTAACGAGGCCCAATCTAGTTTGAAATTACGAAAACGGATCGGTCAATATTTTTGAATTTTTGATATACAATGTATATTTGTATGTACCATTCTAAGAAAAATTGATTGGAAATGGGGTAATTTAAAAATATGGAGAAATTTTCGTGGTTTCACACACAATTATATGCCAAAACTACATAAAACAATGGAATTGATAAATTAAAAAAAAATGGTGAAATGTTTTGTTTTTCACATATTTATGCAATATCCATTCCTCATTTAAAAAATGAAAAGAAAAATGGGAGTAGCCTTTATCATAGTGAAAAGGGGGCATACAAAACACAAAAATTGGACTTAAAATTATATCTAAGATAATTTATAAGTAAGGTTTACATAATATCAAGAAATGGTTGTTGTATTGATGTTTCTCAAAATTAAATGCTCCTTACATAATGAAAGAATTTTCTCTCCAATCGTTATTTTGTCTTACACAAAACGTTTTTTACGTAAAAAAGGTGAGGAGGGGGTAATAAAATTACAAAGTTTGTTAATATGTAGGAAACTAAAGTATTTCTTCTTGGTTACACTTATAAGACTCGTAGATTAAAAAAAAAAAAAAAAAAAAAAAAAAAAAAAAAAAAAACAAGTCAATATACTGCATGCATACACATGTAGTTAAGTTTTCAACAAAATTGTTAAATAACATTTCCAAGGAGAAAAACTTCATTTGTTACTTTAGGTTGCATTTTTTAAAACTCAAAAATTAAAATAAGTTAAAACTTATAAATAGAAATTCACAAAATTTCGAAATAAATTGTTACAAAGTTTATTTTTTAAAAAATTTGACCTCATTTTAACTGTGACATTATTATATTCAATTTTGGGCAATCAAGGGTACTGTGATGCGTCTGAAACAATGCTGCGTTAAAACGTATGCGTAAACTAAGTAGAATGGGCCTCGTTAAGGAAGAAATTCCTTAAAATCGTATGTCAGTTTTAGATATTTTCAATATTTCCAACACCAGTGAATTTGAATTACCATACTTAACTGGAATCCTCAGCTACACTAAAATCCTTACAAAAAGATAAATAGTACACTGTAGGTTCCAGTAAATGTTCTAACAAAGAGCTAGGTTCACCTTATGCATAAAATGGCCCTGTAGATAAACCAATTTATCCACTTACACACTATGTCCCTTTCTCAACATCAATATAAAGTAGAGACTTGGCGCTTTCAGTTTGTATATAAAAGTTTCCTCTAAAGAGTCCAGGTGCTCGAAAACAGGTTGTGTGAAATTGCAATGTTCTTCAATTTTGCAGAAAACAGCTGAATTTGAGAACTTTCAACAAAGAATTAAAATATGAGCACACCCCTCGATCCAAAAATTAAAATACATTTTATAATCTTAATAAGCAGTTCTTTAATATATTTGCACATTTTGGATCGGAGGTTGTGTTGTATACGATATATTGAAAAATAGCATTATATTTTGGCCATTTTTGAAGAAATATTCGGGATATGTGAATAATGACGCAATTCATGACGTCATAATACATTGACTTTCAAGAAAATTACGTCATTTTTAGTATAAATTCATTCACCAAGTGTTCAAGTGATATTTATTGCCTTGTCGACTAAAACTATGCAGTTTTAATTTTTCAGAAATTTACAGGGCCAAAAAAGGCCCTAAGCGGCCCTTGCTCTTTCTTATTTTATTCCTCACAAAAATATTGAGAGAAGTGAAGAAGAAGCTTCAGAAGTATTGTACAACAGCATATTCAAGAAGTGGTGTTTATCAGATGTGGATATTAAAAAAAGGAACATTTACATGTAGAAAATTTGAAATAACATAATTTTGCAAATCATTAGCATCAAAACGTACGACTTTTGAACACTTTTAACAACCATTCCCCGCCAAAAATTAAAGATCAAATTTTTGACTTAATAGGCAATTTTTTTCTTTAATAAAAATGGAACTTTAATTTGCATGCCTTTTCAATGGACATTTGTGAACTTATTTTGTTAAAAATCATTCTCTTCTTCACATATGTACAAGGAGATTAATCGTAAAACGTTACTTTGAGTTTCTCATTTACAATGTTTTCGTCGTTTTCGGAGAACAGGTCTTTGTAGAAATAATTGGAATTACCGTTGGTACCCCCTTCTTATAAGCAGTTCTATATTTATGTTCATTAGATATATTGATGACTGATTTACTAATTAACAATAATCAGTTTCATTCCTACGTACGTTGATACAATAAATACCAAAAATGAATACTAGTAATGTGGAGATAATACACTACATAGTCTATCACATCCGTTTCGTATTTGGATGTTTTACTAGAAAAAGACATTGTTGGCAAACTGATAACTAAATATTATGATTTACGTGAAGACTTCAACTTCCCTATCTCAACTTCCCTAAATTATGCATCTATATTCCATTTTAAGCTGCATGTAAAGTTTATTTCCCGTTGATTTCAAATGAAAGAGCAGGTTTTACGTTCCTACTATTTCTAAAACGAGGCATGTTATTGCAATTAAGTTAATGATACAAAAATATCAATTATTTTTTTTTAAATTCAACAGTTTGCAAATCCTATGGTCTGTACAATGACCTTGTCAGCAATACAATCTATCGTTAACTAAAGTTGAATGTTGACGTCTTTCATACAGATTGTTATGCTGTTATTTCACACCAAATTGTATCCGTTTTTTTTCGCTTACCCGATCGTGACAGTAGCACACGGCGGGTGTGAACTGTCGACAGGGGATGCTTACTCATCCTTGGGACCTGATCCCCCTTTTTTCAAAAGTCTGTGTTGGCTCTGTTCATAATTTGGATTGTTTAAATGGTCTTCTGAGAAAGATCACTGTTATCTTCAAATTTACCCTAGACGTAGGTCATGATTTGAACAAACTGGGATCTATTTTAGAAAACTTTCACATGTTTGAATCTACTCTA